TTCTTGCAGTCCAAGAAGATGCAATCAGCCCACCCCTCTCTCTCTTGTCTTACTTCTGTTATTTTATCATAAAACTCCAAAAGGTTTGTGTGTGTGTGTGTGTTTGTGTGTGTGTTCCCTAATGGCTGTTACATCTCCCCTGCTGCATTCTATTGTTTATCTTCGTTAACAGGGTATGTACATTTAATCCAAAGTAACGTTTAAAAATATTGAGAGTGACACCTTGACGTAATTGCTCAACCATGGAGACCTGTTCTTGAGCATGTGATTTGGCCCCGAAATTTTCAGTCGCTGTCGATCGTGGTTGTTTTGGCACCTTGCAATTCTGTGTATCTTGGCACCTTGCATAACTATGTAACTTGGCACCTTTCAATGCTGTGTATCTTGGCACCTTGCAATACTGTGCATCTTGGCACCTTGCAATACTATCTTGGCACCTTGCAATACTGTGTATCTTGGCACCTTGCAATACTGGGTATCTTGGCACCTTGCATTACTGGGTATCTTGGCACCTTGCAATACTGGGTACCTTGGCACCTTGCCATACTGGGTATCTTGGCACCTTGCAATACTGGGTATCTTGGCACCTTGCAATACAGTGTATCTTGGCACCTTGTAATACCGTGTATCTTGACACCTTGCAATACTGTGTAACTTGGCACCTTTCAATACTGTGTATCTTGGCACCTTGCAATACTGTGCATCGTGGCACCTTGCAATACTATGTATCTTGGCACCATGTAATACTGTGTATCTTAGCACCTTGCAATACTGTGCATCTTGGCACCTTGCAATACTGTGTATCTTGGCACCTTGTAATACTGTGCATCTTGGCACCTTGCAATACTGTGTATCTTGGCACCTTGCAATACTGTGTAACTTAGCACCTTGCAATACTGTGTATCTTGGCACTTTGCAATACTGTGTAACTTAGCACCTTGCAATACTGTGTATCTTGGCACCTTGCAATACTGTGTAACGTAGCACCTTGCAATACTGTATCTTGGCACCTTGCAATACTGTGTATCTTAGCACCTTGCAATACTGTATCTTGGCACCTTGCAATACTGTGTAACTTAGCACCTTGCAATACTGTATCTTGGCACCTTGCAATACTGTGTAACTTAGCACCTTGCAATACTGTATCTTGGCACCTTGCAATACTGTGTAACTTAGCACCTTGCAATACTGTATCTTGGCACTTTGCAAGACTGTGTATCTTGGCATATTAAAAAACATTTCCACATTTCTTAACTTTCGGTGTGTTCAGGACACAACATAAACTATAATGTTCCTTCTAAAAAAATTAAAAATTTAATTTTTTTTGTCACAGTATAAGAAAAATTTGAAATCATTAGGTCAAATATTAGAAACACCTGAATCTTCCTCTCTTATTATTTATTGATGAGTAAAACACAAAGGCTAGATTAGTGTTTTTATACTGTGTTTCGATCATTTTTGTATCATGATCAGATCGAGAAAATTGGTCAATTTTTCACTCAACTTTTACCAAATTAAATTCTACGTAATATATTACATAAAACCATTATAAAAGTTTCAAGATATGTTTCTTTCTTTCAACACACCGGCCGTATCCCACCGAGGCAGGGTGGCCCAAAAGAAAAAACCAAAGTTTCTCCTTTCAAATTTAGTAATATATACAGGAGAAGGGGTTATTAGCCCCTTGCTCCCGGCATTTTAGTCGCCTCTTACAACACGCATGGCTTACGGAGGAAGAATTCTGTTCCACTTCCCCATGGAGATAAGAGGAAATAAACAAGAACAAGAACTAGAAAGAAAATAGAAGAAAACCCAGAGGGGTATGTATATATACGCTTGTACATGTATGTGTAGTGTGACCTGAATGTAAGTAGAAGTAGCAAGACGTACCTGAAATTTTGCATGTTCATGAGACAGAAAAAAAGGACACCAGCAATCCTACCATCATGTAAAACAATTACAGGCTTTCGTTTTACACTCACTTGGCAGGACGGTAGTACCTCCCTGGGCGGTTGCTGTCTACCAACCTACTATTAAACAAACTAAAAAGAGAAAACAAGGAGAAGCTACAGACATCGACAGACTGCAAGACTGGTCAAACAAGCGGCTACTGGAGTTCATCCCTACCAAATGAAAATTATGGGACAGACGAGAAGACCGGGAACTGAGTATAGTCTCCGGGGACTGAGGCTGCAAACTTAACTCAGAAAGGAAGACCTACGTAGGTGTGAGCATAGTGCCGAACAGATCATTAATAGCCCTAAATACGACATATTTTAAGTTTATTATCAACATTGAATCCACACCAGATACAGCTTAAAAACTGAATGAAGAGTAAAGATATGCAATGAGACTAGTCTCAGAGTTGCTGAGAATGAACTGTGATGAGAAGCTAAAGTAATTGAACCTGTCGATATTAGTGGATTTAGGAGACATGGGAGACATAATGACATATAAAAGACTCGGAAGAGTTGATAGGGTGGACAGGGACGGACAGAGAGGCGGGGAACGTGCACAGTTGGAAGTTCAAACACAGATGTGTTCCAGGGATGTCAGAAAGTTTTTTTTTTTGTTAGCATGGGGATGATCAGGAAGTGCATTGATTTGAGTCCCAGGCGGAGTTGTAATGGAGGCAGGTTCATATATTGTTTCAAGAATAGATATGACAGTTCCCAGGAATCTAGGAAGGAGTGAACTTAGCAAGACAGCACCATTAAAAATAGGTTAGACAAACACATTAGTGGATGAGGGTGGGTGTGAGGTAGACTACCCTAGCATGGGCCAGTAGGTCTGTTGCAAGGCTACTTTCATATATTCTTAAGACGCAAGAACCAAGAGCCTAGACTCGATCCTTCAACCACAAATAGGTGAATACAAGTGACAAAGAGCACACACACGGGGCCAGGAGCTGTGAATCGACCCCTGTACCCACAAATAGGCGAGTACACGAGTATAAACGTGACCAATCTTTGCACTATAAATCGTTTAACTGCTCTTGTCAGAAAGAAAACCGCTTTAATTACTTTCTCAGTAATTCTCTCACGTTTTTTGGGCGAAAATTTGGTCACTGGTACAATTTGTAAGGCAGAGATAAAAGTGAGGGACAGGGAGTAGGCGAGAACGAAAAAAAGAGTTGGAAGAGGAAGAGGAGGAGGAAGAGGATATTGAGATTGATGGCAGTGATGTTAAGGAGGAGGAATGTAGGAAGGTGCGATGATTGCTGGAGGAAAGGAAATACAAAAAGAGGAAGAAGAGGGGGGGAGAAAGAGAGAAAGAGAAGAGAGAGAGAGAGGAGAGAGAGAGAGAGAGAGAGAGAGAGAGAGAGAGAGGAGAGAGAGAGAGAGAGAGAGAGAGAGAGAGAGAGAGGAGAGAAGAGAGAGAAGAGAGAGAGAGAGAGAGAAAAGAGAGAGAAAGAAAGGAGAAGAGAGAGAGAGAGAGAGAAGAGAGAAAAGAGAGAGAGAAGAAAAGAGAGAAAAAGAGAGAGAAAAAGAGAGAAAGGAGGAGGAAAAGAGAGAGAAGAGAGAAAAAGAGAGAGAGAAAAGAGAGAGAAGAAGAGAGGGAGAGGAGAGAGAAAGAGAGAAAAGAGAGAGAGAGAAAAGAGAGAGAGAAAAAGAGAGAGAGAGAGAGAGAGAGAGAGAGAGAGAGAGAGAGAGAGGAGAGAGAGAGAGAGAGAGAGAGAGAGAGATGAGAGAGAGAGAGAGGAGAGAAGAGAGAGAGAGAGAGAGAGGAGAGAGAGAGGGAGAGAGGAGAAGAGAGAGAGAGAGAGGAGAGAGAGAGGAGGAGAAGGAGAGATGAGGAGAGAAGAGAGAGAGAGAGAGGACGGAGAGGAGGAGAAGAGAGGGGAATGTGAGGAATGAGGAGAGCAGGGTAGAGGTAGAGGGAGAGTAGGGAAGGGAGGGAGAGAGGAAGAGAGAGGGGAACGGAGACTAGTACGCTGGAGGATAAAGGTAGAATGTGAAGCGTAATGGACAGGACGAGGTGGCAGGTAAAGGTAGAAGGGGACTGTAGGGACTGGGGGAAGGCTGGCAGGGTAAAGATAGTGGGGAAGAGTATGGAATAGGGGAGGGATGGCAGGGTAAAGGTAGAGGGGAACAGTAGGGAAATATAAACACATAAGCAGTACAATGTGATCCTTTACTGACAACGTTTCGCACAAACAATGGGCTTTATCAAGTCACAAACAGATCTACCTGGGTGAAAGGTGCGTGAGTATTTATAGGATGAAGTCAGGTGAAGAATGCTGCATGTGACAATCTACCGAGTACGGTCATAGAGTAATACCTGGGGTAGCTTTGAAGAGACCTATTTGCTGCCGTTGTCCTCTTTCCAAGGAATGCACTCATGGCAGTCATCTGACACTAAATACCTATTTACTGCTTGGTGCACAGGGACAGCAGGTGTAAGGGAACATAACCAACGTCTCCACAGGGTGAATGGGAAACCAAAAAGCCATAATAATCTTTCCGTAGTCGACAGGCTAAATTTAAGGCCATTTCAACAAGCAAAGTCAAGTTCCAGAATAAGCGTGTACTGGGAGAACGTTTCACTGTGATCTAATGAATTTCTACACCGAGCGAAACCCTCAGCACTCAGTTCACATACTGAAGGTTCGATTCCCGGCACGGGTTAGAAAGTTTGGATATATTTCCTTATACCTGCTGCCCCTGTTCCCTAAGCACCAGTGGGTGTTAGTACCTGGGTGTTCGTCGACTGTTGTGGGTGGCATCCCAGGGTGTAGTAGTATACCCTAGATGGAGGTCAGCTAAGAAACGAGCTGAGAAGGATAACAGCTCTTGGCCTGTAGAACTCATCAATGTTAAAATGAAGGATCGTGTATTAATCTTGGTAGAATTACCGACAATAGCAGCTTGACAAAGCTCTTGAAGAGCGAAACGTTGCCACAATAAAATGTCACATTAGTTGCACTTGTGTCCTTTTACTTAATTACAATTGACATTACATATAAATTATTAGTTAGAAATTATATTATAAATACTCACAAGAACGGTGGTTGAAAGTGGCGTAGACTCCTATAGAGGAGACTGAGCAGAGTATCACTACTGCTGCACCCACCACACTACGTATGGGCGCCCAGACCCTCCTGCGACCTCTCTGTCTCTCCTCCCGGATGCCTTCTGACGGCGAGGTACTCATACTTCCCAGGTCTTCCCCACATAGTCACTGATCACAATACTTTTATTGAATCCACTAAACTTCGAATTAGTTCATTGCGGGTTTGCGATGAATAGTCACTTATAGTGGTTAATCATTATAATGTGCTAAATATTATTGGTGATCCAGCGAGTTCACTGTAGTTCACCATTTAACTTTACGTAACAATTTACCTCTATCATCCACTACCAATTTTCACATTCCTTTCAGTCATACGAATTCTCAGATATTTAATTCAGAAATTAAATCATCCTCATTTCCAGTATGGCTGACATTAAATATCTTCGACTCTGAAAAAAAAAATAACGCGTGAGATATTGAATACAATGCGACATCATCATGATAACATACCAGGAAGTGCCGTAGGAGTGGAAAGGAGAAGAGAATGATCGTCAAAGCAATATACATTTGATTATATTGAAGTTTATATATTTTTCACAAGGTGTTTCAAAGCCCATTTATATAAATTACATAAATGGCCACACATTCGGAAATATACCGTTGTTGTTGTTGCATTCGACATTTACACATATAAATGATATTAATCGTTGAGCGCTAAACTGATGTAGGTCGTACAGCGGTTGGGAAATGGTAGGTATTTACGTTTGATAACAGAAAGAGGAAGGTAGTTTCAATTCCCTGGATTTAGAGCCCTTCACCAGCATCAACGCACCCCTTCCTCCTTCCCATGAAGGGGGCAGACATCAACATAAAAGACGACCCGACTCTATTCTCATTGAGTACCTTAATTACTTGTACAAGAGATGTAAAATACCGACGTCTCTCTTGGATATCAACCTTTATCAACTCAAAGACAACAGCTGATAAAAACAACATTCAATATATAGGGTAGCAGAACTGCTGCTCAACGTACTGTACGTGCAGGTGAACGGAGAGAGTGAGGAGTGAAGGGTAGGTTACCATTCTACCACCTCACACAGGTGACTGAGCCGAAGGTGGGCGAGTGGTTACGCGAATCGAAAGCTACATATTCTTTGAAAATGGTTATTGTATTTATTATGACCAATTCCAGGTTTGAAATGACTGTGGGCACGCCCATTAGTGCTGTGTTAACCAACATATACTTGGAGTATTTGAAGGCTGAAGTGTTACAGATTATCATCCCTGCCAGTGACTTCTGGACGAGGTATGTGAAAAACATATTCATCATCCCTCCTAAACGGCTAGAACTTTATGTACTCTTGAACAACTTGAATGCCACAGACTTTTATACTCAATTTGCGTACGAGGAGGAAAGCAATAACACTCTTGAACATTTTAATTTGTAAATAATCCAACATCCTCAAGTTCAATTTCTTCCTAATACTTTCATACAAGCCTGGAGAAGTGCTTCTAAAATGCTTGCATCCCAGGACAGAGAAAACTAATATCAGGCTCCTCATCTGTCACACTTCCGCTGTTCCTGAAGCCCTCCTAAATTTGTTCACAAGGCCAACCTCAAGAGACATCAGCAGAACCTGCGATGGTAGTATCTCCAGGAAAAATAATGCAGAGATGGAGTTTACACCACTACCGGTTGTGGCTACAACGTTTTTTCGATGGTGAGACAACCAGCGACTTGGACACGCGCACTGGAGAACAAATTTCTTTTTTGATCAACGACCCTTGGAATGCTTGGGCCAATCATCGTAACACACATCCCCACATCATGAAGTAGATTGAGGTGAAACTAGGTACAGGTACAGTATTTCAGAAGACAGAGACAAGCAGTGATGCTTAAATCAACCCCATTTAACACTACAAACCACCATCACTCAGAATATAGGTAACTTTTGAATCTTCCACCTATTGTACACCCAGCTGCGTGAATTGGGGTAAAGGTCCTCTCACCCTCGCTATTCACCAGCTGCGCTATGTATATTGCATGTTTCCCAAGTATTGTCTATAAGATTTAGTTAAGCTTAGGGTCTAAGCTTGTGTGTCTTTTACTTACGGCAGTATCCTAAGCAATAAATCTGTTAATTTTAATATCATACAAAAAAGTATAATAACTAATATTCAATATATATAGCAAATTTCTTAAAATTGAGTGTCCTAATCATCACAGTAATTAAAATCGTTATTATAGTGATAACAAATATAATAAAAATCCCAGATGCTACGGAATAAGGTAATGTTATTTTAGCTATACACTTGTTTGTTTTTTATCGAAGAAAAATAATAGATAATTAAAATAAAAGTTAATCAGCACGATTATGATTAAATTTGATTTTGATAATTTAATTATTTTTCTTCAATAAAAAAAAAAAAACAAATGTATAACTGAAATAAAATGACCTCATTCCATAGCGTCTGGGATTTTTTTTTATTTGTACCTCTGAATAGTCTGCTTGATATACGGTTTACTGTCTCTCGTTCCTAAGGATGCTCTCCACAAGTCTCATAACAATCATAACTAAGCGCTAAACCCACTAGGGCCATACAGCTCAGTCGCCTAATACTCTTGTTATCTATTTACCGAATTGTGAACAATAGCAATTAGGGAAAGGAGGCTTGTCCATACCTCTCCACACTCCCTCATCCGACCGAGTTTCAAGAAAAAAAAAAAAACAGTTTGTTATTGACATGTATCAGTCGATGGACCCCACCTGTCGCCAGTCCAGATAGGATCACCCGATTGACTGGCTCTTGAAACCAGTCTAATCTCACAACGGCATTAAGACACCCTGTCTTTTTGCTGCCACATTCCTTAGCCTGTCTTGAATATTTCGTGGATGCTTTTACAGTTTTGAGCTGAACAATTTTTCCTGCTTCACTTAATGATGTTATTCCTGGTGCATGTTACTTTGGTTCACTCTGTTGTTAACTACCGTGTTAAGGCTTTTTTAATAAAATTCATTCCGAGGTCAGTTATACCAGATCATTAGAAAGAAAAGGGAATAAAGACTGAGTGATTAACCCAAAAATCTTAAAAACTCAGGATAACCCAGTAAAGCCATTCAGTGTGGTTTATTCCCAGTAGGTTCCTTTCGTCTTTCTCCATAATGTTGCCACCATCAGTCGACTAATTTCCAGGTATATATTTACTGCTAGGTGAAGAGGGGCTACAGGTGTTATGAGACCTGCCCATCCGTCCTACCACTTTCAGGGTTGATCCCGGGCCGTTCGACTGTGAGCTGAACCCATCGTTACCGAGCTACGAGACACTTACGAATATTTAGTTATATGCATATTCTGTGACAAAACTCGACTAGAACATGTATATACCAAAATTATGTTAATTTGGTATTGCCCAGAGAGCACTCTGAAGGGGTTACCTAAATTTTGGTTTTCCTTCCTCTAAGGTTTATGCTTATAACTTGAGAATGTCTGTCTCTCTAATTTGGTACAGTAGAAACTTATGATCGATATGAACTACTCTTGCTGCGGCGTGTACAGGGGGCTGGGACAAGGTACAATGAGATGGCTTTGTGGGATACGGGGATACCGTTCTCGGATCTCGCGGCTACAGAAACAAGTCTAGTCAAGCCAGTGACATTTTTAGTTTGCTTTTCTGCAACAGTTAGATTAAGTTTGACCTGACTGTCACAGTTACGAACATTTTCTCACAAACTATGATTTACGAACATATTTTTTTAAGCTTATAAGCTAAAGTCTGCCAGGTGCACAATTAGCAAAATGTAGATGAAAAATGTATCACCCCTAATTATTATTATAATTACGGGGAAGCGCAAAATCCGTAGGTATACACTTCCTAGGTATCTATTTACTGCCAGATAACAGGGCCAGTTAGTTTCGGGAAACTTAATTACCTGTAAGTCCGTTTTCCCTCGCTCAGGATTGAACATAATAAGTCTTTCTCTTTCGTTGAGAATCAGACGCGCTACCCATTGAGCGACGAGGGAGAGAGTTCAATAACCTCGCCCGTCCCCTCTCAGGAAGACTATCACAGGAAATCCTTGAGGTGAAAATCCAGTGGTTTTGCTCGTCATATAACACAAAAACTATACTGTTTAAATTCCGCTAGAAGTAAACTTGTCTTGTGCTTCTTATATTTGATATTAATGATTACCATCATGTGTCACCGGTACATGTTTATTTTGTTGTGTAAGGTGCAACAATGTGTGTGTGTGTGTGTGTGTGTGTTGTATGAGAGAGAAGAGAGAGAGAGAGAGAAGAGAGAGAGAGAGGAGAGAGAGAGAGAGAGAGAGAGAGAGAGAGAGAGAGAGAGAGATACAAAGGATATATTGAGAGCTTATATTTAGTATTAATTGAGCAATGACCAGTTATTAATTCTAACTTGGCCGGAATCTCAGATGTTTGCGCTATATGTTAGTTGAATTGATGGTGTTAGCTATCACCGCTGAGATCTCAGACCTGTATGCGAGGACTGATCCAGTTGAGTGAATATAGTCGGTGTCATGATATTTACTAACTGTGGAAACTTTACATATACTAAATAATATATATAATATTCTATATATATTATAATATATATTCTAATACTTATATAATAATATATATATATATATATATATATATATATATATATATATATATATATATATATATATATATATATATATATATATATATATATATATATAATATATATAATATGCCACAGGGAGAAGACTTGGGACTCATCCTCAATCCCTCCAAGTGTGAAATCATCACAGCAAACCAGGAAATAATCAACGCTGTGCGAAGAATCCTCCCAGAAGTCTCTATTACCACTCCGTCCAACAGTACTCAAGGACAAATTGAATGACCTGATGAGAATGGAGGAGAGAATAAGCAATCTTGATGCCCATGATGCTCTGTATCTCCTTACAAGGTGCCTTACTATTCCAAGACTCACTTACTTCCTGAGGTGTGCACCCTCTTTTGACAACCCAACACTCGACGAATATGACGCACACCTGAGGTCAACCCTTAAGAAGGCACTGAACCTGTCACTAGAGGATCAGCAATGGGATCAGGCAACCCTCCCAGTACGACTGGGAGGTATAGGGGTGCGCAAAGCAACGCATGTTGCTTTACCTGCTTTTCTGTCTTCATGTTTGGCTTCCAGTGCATTAGTCAAGAAGATTGTCCCTGAACGCTTGAGAGACATGGTAGGAGCTCAAGACCCCAGGTTTACTGAAGCAGCGATTCGGTGGGACACCCTTACAGATTCCGCCAGTAGACCAGCTCCTCCCAAAGAACACAAACAGTCCCACTGGGACTAACCGATCATGGAAAAAATCGCCAACACAATGCTCTCCAACGCCTCAGGAAAGGACAAAGCTCGTCTCCTGGCAGTGAAGGCACCACACTCAGGAGATTTCCTGTTTGCTGTTCCCAATTCCTCCTTGGGCACTCGACTAGACCCACAGGCCATTCGGATTGGTGTTGCTCTTCGCCTAGCCGCCCCCATCCTCACCGAACATAGGTGTATTTGCGGCAGGGCGACAGCTGATCAATTCGGACTTCATGGTCTCGTGTGTCACACAGCAGAAGGGAAGTATGCCAGGCATGAGGAGGTCAATGATATCATAAAGAGAAGCCTCGCCACAGCCCGTTGCCCAGCTCAATGGGAACCCCAAGTGCAGAGGTCTGACGGAAGTCTAAAGCGTCCTGATGGAGCCACTATGCTACCTTGGAAGGATGGAAAGCAGATTGCCTGGGACTACACATGTGCCGCCACATTGGCAGACACCTACTTGCCATACTCCGTAGTGGAAGGGGGTGGAGCTGCCAGCCACAGGGAGACTCAGAAGATCCGCAAATATGAAGACCTTCCCCCTTGCTATAACTTCATCCCAATAGGGTCAGAGACCCTTGGAGCATGGGGCAAGTGTGCTCTAAAGTTCGTAATAGAGCTGGGTGAAAAGCTCATCATAGAAACAAAGGACCACAGGGCGACCAGCTTCCTTTTCCAGAGATTCAGTGTTGCGATCCAGAGAGGAAATGCCTGCAGCATTCTGGGCACGCGGCCCACCGCCGGGGAGCTGGATGAAGTATTCGAGATGTAGCTCTGAGTTACCTATGTTGTTTTACTTTGTATCGTAGTTTTGTGAATATTCTGTCAATGTATTTTGTCTTTAAATAAAATAAAATATAATATATATATATATATATATATATATATATATATATATATATATATATATATATATAGATAGAATAATAATAAGTATAGAAGAGAGAGAGAGAGAGAGAGAGAGAGAGAGAGAGAGAGAGAGAGAGAGAGAGAGAGAGAGAGAGAGAGAGAGAGAGAGAGAGAGAGAGAGAGAAAATGAGATGCGATTATTTAAATAAAATTAAACATGAATAATGGGAGGCAGACACTCTGGTTCAGGAGTTCAATAAACTTGGTCATATCATAAACATAACTAACTGGGAATAACTGGAAAGCAATCACGCCCATAAAAAAAAAAAGATTTGGTGATATAACGTATCTGATAGTTGAATCTTGCACATAGTTCATCGAAGGTCACCTTAGTTAACGTTGGGGCTGTCCACGCGGTCACCCAGCCAGTTACTGTCCCGAGCGACTGACATCATCCTCAGGACAGCGTATTAGTCAGCACTACTGTTAAAGGTTGAATGTCACTTAAGCGCGCATACACACACAATGGGAAAAACCTCTGCGTCTGCGTGCCTCCACTACCTTCAACACTTGCCTCTGTACTGCTGACACCGCTGAGTTACACCCCATCCTCACCCTCCCCCCACAAGTCCTCCCCCAACTACCTGTAATACAACCATCCTCAGCGCCCTGACCTGAAGCCACGATTGCACTTCCCACTTTCTGGGAATTTTCACCCAGAGAAAAAAGAATAAGTCGGACCTGACTGTCTCGGTCGTTCCTGAATGATCAAAACACCGTAAATAAAACTTCGAAAATTGTTGAACCGGCACACCCCTGTTGATGTCATTTTGCACGAACATTTTTGAAAGTTACGGATCACGGAGGAAAATTGATCAATTGTAACAGTAGCTACTTAAACAATGATGATAATGATAACTTTAATTCTCAATAAGATACACCAGAGCTACAATCGTAGGTTAACAGTGTACATTGCTTACAAGGAAAATCTAATGTAGCCACTTGTGACATTAGGAAAAATTTTCACAGCCTTATACCTTCTGTTGCATTGCTAACTCAGGTTTATCCTCAGGGTAGACGTAGTCCAAAATCGAGTGATAGCAAAGGAACTCAAACGAGAATATTAGAAAGCGTGGCTATCAGTGTTTAAAGGTGAGCGAAACTTTCTGGGGCTGGAGTGTTGGCTGACCCATATCTCTACCCTCATTCCAAGGTAGGTTTGCCAACCTTAAAATAATATTATAATGTAATATTTATCATTTAGACCATCTATTATTTCATTCACAGCCTCTCATATTGACCCCCAACATTGTACTTTACATAGATAATTCAAAAATATAAAATAAATTTAAATCAGTGGTTGGGATGTTTTTCTAAGTGACCTGTTGTAACAGAGTATCCTGAAAGACTCGTGACTGTTGACAAGGAGAACAGTTGGCAACTATGAGGAGTACCGAATGTGCGTCCTTGCCGACTTTCTCTGATGATAGAGGGTCGCTACGAACCCTCAGCTATCCTAAAAAATAGTGACATAGCTGGCTCACACACCGCCTGGGGCCCACGCATCACCCAAACCACCCTACCTCCCAGCACTCGACTGTACTGTCGCCTCACTCACCTCAGGAATGAAGGAATCAACCTAACTTCAGTTGTAGATAAATGGATCAGTGAACTGACGAGGTGATAAATTAGACACGCGTGCAACACTTGGGTATCTTTGCTGTGGAAATGTTTCACCATACAGTGACTTAATCAGTCCAGTACAAAGAAGAACAGTGAGATCGGAAGGAGACTAAGGTAATCAGTCCCTCAGCCTTGAGTCGATGTAATCAGTCGATCGACTCTTGGCTGAGGGACTGATTACCTCAATCTCCTTCCTATCTTTACTGTTCTCCTTTGTAATGGACTGATGAAGCCACTCTAGACTAATGAAGGACTCGGTCAAATACCTTGAAGCTCCACGGAACGGGTCATCATATGTCTAAGACACACGTCAGAAGAACTTTTCCTATTTCTTTTCGGAAACGAAATAGCACCGTCATATATATATATATATATATATATATATATATATATTATATATATATATATATTATATATTATATATATATATATATATATATATATTTATATATATATAAATAATATATATAATATATATATATATATAATATATATATATATATATATATATATATATATATATGTGTGTGTGTGTGTGTGTGTGTGTGGAAAATACTGTATACATTTTCCAGAAATACAGTAGTTATATGTAAAAAGATGGCCATACTGTATTTAATAATATTTACGTCATAGAAAACGGAAAGCCTGCGTCTGCGCAGAAGACAATCGCCATTTTTGTTTGAATTGGACACTAACGGTAGTGTATAATGGGAAGAATTTTTCGTGCTCTAAAGGTTAAAATTGGGTTGACACCTCTCAAATAGGAGGCGAAATTGTTGGATGTGCATTCCTGCATAGCTTGAGATATCAGGCGACTGGACAAGACAGCTCCAGGAACCTCAGATAAGTCTGTTATGTTTAACTCTGGCCAGTGTTATTTTCATAGATAGAGAGTGAGGTTTTCTGAGTATGATATACATAAATCTCCAGTCAAATTGGTGAGTGTTATGATTAAGATATATTCTCCTTCTGTTGTATAAATGTGTATATATATATATATATATATAATATATAATATATATATATAATATATATATATATAATCATTTATTATTTTTAATATACAGCCCACAAATTTATATATTTACCAGCATTCTTGGTGATACATGTTTCATTTGTAATTAATAGGTCCAGAGCAACTTGTGGATATGACAGTGGTATGTATTGAAGGGGGACATTTTTTGCGACCTAAATGTCCCAAATTCCTACTTGTCTAACTTATAAATAATAATTATCTTTGTTCATTTACTGTTATGTACATAATGATACATTCAGATAAATGTAATTTTCCACAATATATATATATATACATATATATATATATATATATATATATATATATATATATATATATATATATATATATATATATATATATATGTACTCACCTATTTGTGGTTGCAGGGGTCGAGTCTTACCTCCTGGCCCCGCCTCTTCACTGGTTGCTACTGGGTCTTCTTTCTCCCTGCTCCATGAGCTTTATCAAACCTCGTCTTAAAACTATGTATGGTTCCCGCCTCCACTACGTCACTTTCTAGGCTATTCCACTGCCTGACAACTTTGTGACTGAGGAAATACTTCCTAACATCCCTTTGGCTCATCTGAGTCTTCAACTTCCAATTGTGCTTCTGTATATAGGTGTGTGTGCGTGTACTCACCTAATTGTACTCACCTAATTGTGGTTGCAGGGGTCGAGACTCAGCTCCTGGCCCCGCCTCTTCACTGATCGCTACTGGGTCCTCTCTCTCTCTGCTTCCTGAGCTTTGTCATACCTCTTCTTAAAATTATGTATGGTTCCTGCCTCCACTACTTCACTTGCTAGGCTATTCCACTTCCTGACGACTCTATGACTGAAGAAATACTTCCTAACGTCCCTGTGACTCGTCTGAGTCTTCAGCTTCCAGTTGTGACCCCTTGTCCCTGTGTCCCCTCTCTGGAACATCCTATCTCTGTCCACCTTGTCTATTCCCCGCAGTATCTTGTATGTCGTTATCATGTCTTCCCTGACCCTTCTGTCCTCCAGTGTCGTCAGTCCGATTTCCCTTAACCTTTCCTCGTACGACATTCCCTTGAGCTCTGGGATTAGCCTTGTTGCAAACCTTTGTACTTTCTCTAACTTCTTGACGTGCTTGACCAGGTGTGGGTTCCAGACTGGTGCTGCATACTCCAGTATGGGCCTAACATACACAGTGTACAGTGTCTTGAACGATTCCTTATTAAGGTATCGGAACGCTATTCTCAGGTTTGCCAGGCGCCCGTATGCTGCAGCGGTTATTTGGTTGATGTGTGCCTCCGGTGATGTGCTCGGTGTTATGGTCACCCCAAGGTCTTTCTCCCTGAGTGAGGTCTGTAGTCTTTGTCCACCTAGCCTATACTCTGTCTGCGGTCTTCTTTGCCCCTCCCCAATCTTCATAACTTTGCATTTGGCTGGATTGAATTCGAGAAGCCAGTTACTGGACCACATGTCCAGCCTGTCCAGGTCTCTTTGCAGTCCTGCCTCATCCTCGTCCGATTTAATTCTTCTCATCAACTTCACGTCATCTGCGAACAGGGACACTTCAGAGTCTATTCCTTCCATCATGTCGTTCACATATATCAAAAATAGCATTGGTCCTAGAACTGACCCATGTGGGACCCCGCTCTTAACAGGGCGCGCGCGCGCGCGCGCGTGTGTGTGTGTGTGTGTGTGTGTGTGTGTGTGTGTGTGTGTGTGTGTGTGTGTGTGTGTGGCATTCCGATCCTTGTCCTTACACCTTCACTAATTGGATAGATGGTAATCAGGAGGAAGGTGGCAGCCAAGGGTACGACACGACTGGCAATGACAGGGAGCGGCAAATTTCGATCTTGCTTACAGGTTGGTTGTCTTGTCAATATTGGTTTTCTGGGCAGAGTTGGTAGCTGCCCTGGTTAAGATATTCTCCTGTGAAAAGTGATGATCCATACCTACCCTCAAGCAGCTAAATGGACGCCTATAGATCTCATCCCTTCAGATAATATTAACGCATCTTAAGCAATAGATACCAAGACCCTTCCACATATTCCCAAAGCAGCTCCTCCACACAGCTGGAATACTCGTAGACCTCCCACAGGGACTGATAAATGAAAGTTCCTAGTGGGCGAAACGTCTCTCAATAAATGACAAACCTCACTTTATGTCTTATTCATCTACTTGTTGGTATATTTTACCACTGATGTGCATTCACAGACCTCCAGAAGAAGCCAAACAGAGGCGCCACTGTCCTAGATGCTCCGCCCACCATCACTCTATGGAACACTGCTACTGTTGGACAATGTTTGCCTAGCCGTGGTGGCTAGAGGAGGCTAGTCGGTAGCCTCATCAGTTATCAAATCACTGAAAGATTTCTCCAAAAGTGTAAACTTAATTCGCCTTCACTGCTATACAAAATTAGGAGAAGCAGACCCAGATGACACTGAGAAAAATCAGATTACCAGTGCCCAAAAGAACTGAATAAGACAGAGATGCCGACCCTGTTCAAGCATTGAGATAACAGCGTCCAGTTAGGAAAACCAGGGCGCCAGCATTTCGAACATCAATGTCCGCGATGCAGAATTATCTGTCAATGCAAGAATCGTGAAAAGGTGAAATAGTAAAAGAATATCTTAGGCTGAAGGGGCGCGCGCGCGAACGCATTGATTTTTCAATGATCATTAGTGATGATCTGCCAGGCACCAAAATGTTTGTTCGTCTAACTTCAGCGCAAGATACCGTGGAAGTGAATATGGTCAGTAAATAAGAGGGAGTGACTGTATATGAGGGCGAAAAGAAAATGGTCCTTCTAGGATGATATCGCGTATTGTCAACAAATGTGAAAAATGGACACATGTGCAATAGCAGGAATCGTTACTAACGGTAAGTTTCACCTGCTCTGCAGGTATCAACATTCGAATACAGATATGAATCACACTCCTGGAGACATCAACCTTGGTGGAAGGTGAAGTTAACGAAATGGAGAGGTCGATGTAATCAGTCCGTCAGCCTGGGTGCAAGATAATCAGTCGGGGCTATACTTTTTTTGGCATCACGTTATGTTGCTTAGCGTTGCGCAGTAGCAGATTCACAAGAAGGGAAGGCGAGATACATGTTTCTCCTGTTTTATGGAGCTGAAACTTTTATGTTACTGCCGCCTCTAAACAACAAGAACGACATTTTTATTGTCTACTAAATTCTTCGTGGGTGAAGTGACAGACTTTGCATGGGTGAAACTCCACGGAAAATTAACACAATGAGTCAAACACATATATACGCTTGGCACATGCATAACGCTACCAACGCATATATAATCCACTTAACTAATGTCATGCCTTTGAAACAATATCCAAGTTAACCACCAGAGACAATAGGTGGAGACAGATATGGAGGAAAATATTGAGAGGTGTTTTCAGAAGCACACTAGCGAATCAAGGAGAGAGTAATTTTGCTTCACCTCTTGTAAAAGAATTTGCAGTAAGAAAATCTATTAGCATCACATGTTGAAAATTGCGGAGGCACAACCCATGCCTAGGCAGCCATATTTCCACAGCTGCGTGTGAACACTAGCTTGTTCGACCCTGAGCGTGCAAATCTAAACGTCCACAGTGGCATGCTCAATGCTCATGGCAGCACACCCGCAAATACATGAGTGGTAATGGCTGGATGGGAGTTAGATCAGCCTAATATTGGCCACTTGACCTACTGGAGCGTTCTTTTGTATTTTGTACCTAAATTCGTCACATCCGCTCAACAACACCGATATTTGTAGATGAATGGTTCAGAGAACCGACATGTTGATAAATTAGACACATGTGCAACTCTTGGGTATCTTTATTGAGGAAACGTTTCGCCACACAGTGGCTTCATCAGTCCATACAAAGGAGAATCTTGAAGAACAGGAGGAGAATGAGGTAATCAGTCCCTCAACCTTGAGTCGATGTGGTCAGTCCATCAATCTTGAATAGAATACGGCATACGTGCTGAGAAGGAGCTTATAAACCGTTGGCAGGAGAGGTGCAGCAGTCATAGGTGGTGTAACATTTGTTCAATGTTGAAGTAGGTCGTCTAATTCTTGGGCACGACCTACTTCAACATTGAACAAATGTTACACCACCTATGACTGCTGCACCTCTCCTGCCAACGGTTTATAAGCTCCTCAGCACGTATGCCGTATTCTATTCAAGATTGATGGACTGACCACATCGACTCAAGGTTGAGGGACTGATTACCTCATTCTCCTCCTGTTCTTCAAGATTCTCCTTTGTATGGACTGATGAAGCCACTGTGTGGCGAAACGTTTCCTCAATAAAGATACCCAAGAGTTGCACATGTGTCTAATTTATCAACACCGATATTTGATTCCCAGTGCAGGCCTTATCTTACGTCCATATTTTAATCCTCAATGATATATGCGGGATCTTGTGAAATTTTGTTTTGTATGTTTGGAGTGTATCTCCTTTCCATGTATAACAGAGCGAATTTTATCAATTCAGCAGACTTCCTGCTCCACCAACACGAGGGAGAGAAAGAGATAATATACAGCCAAATGATACTGCTATATTTTGTAGGAAAAACATATTTGATTTATGGTTGAGCTCAGTAGCTGAAATCCTCTTTCGATGTTGGGTGTAGTTCTTAGCCTTCGAGTCATGTTCCCGAGATACATAAAAATGTCCACCTCAATATATCATGCTTATGTAAAGTAGACTTGCACGGTAAACACGTCATCTGTCTTCAGCCACCAAATGACTGGGACTACAGCACTTCGAATTCTCAGAGATAGTTGCCTCATTCCTTGTTCCCTATCCCAGGAAACAATTTTGTCGTGTACCTGCCATAGCATCTAATGATATGATATTAATATTTTTAGACAGTGAACCGGCACGTCAGAGGATGACCTCGGTCGAAATACCAAGAGGTCCATCGAGAAATTTTAATCAGATAAATATTCCCACCGCCTCTTCTCAGAGTCAGTGCTACACGTGTGGTGAACCTTGTTGTTGGTTAGATGGCAGAGTCCCCCAAAACATATGGGTAATAGAGAGACACATAAAGCAGAAGACTTTATCAGGACAACGTTTCGCTCAAGAAGAGCTTCATCAAGTCATGGTTTCTTGAAACTCTTCTTGATCGAAACGTTGTCATAAAAAAAACAGGCTTGATCTGCTGAAGCCTCTATGCGTCCTAGTATAGGTAATGGTTTTGTTACTTTTTCTTCCTTGCATTTCGAGTCATATAAAGCTGATAAAAGTGGAGAATCAGTAATATTAAGATGGAAGAAAGAACTGCCTAGATATCCTTTTTAATTCCTTTTCTTACCATTTTTCTTCTATCCATTTTATCCGTAAAATTGTCTTTATTGTCCTTCTTTTAATCCCTCGTTGTTGTCGTCGTCAATCTCCTCCTCATTGTCCTCTCCTCCTTCTCTTCTTCGTACTTTCCCACTGTCCCTTGCTCCTTCCTCCAAGCCAGCAAGGCAACAACGGCATTTAACCTTGCCAGTATCCAGTCATGTTCAGTATTCATTGTGATCCAGAATAAGTTTGTCTCAGTGTCCTCTCAGCCATCGCAGCACCAAGAAGTTCATCATCGTGTCTCTCTGTCTCTTGAGTCTGTTATTTCGTCAACACCAACAAACAAATCCTACTGTTTCAGCGACACCATGAAGTAAGATCAACTTTAAATTACTGACTAGATACAACAGGTGTAGATATGTGTCATAAGAAGGATACTTCCTTAGGCACAATGCTCCTACATGATTATCAATAATTCACGCCATGCCAGAAACAAGTAGATGACCTTTATTGATGGGTAATCCTGACAAATCTTTTATTTTCAATTAAATTATTCTTTCCAGGCTACTTATAGACTTCAATTAGTTATAAGAATTACTCGGACATTAAGTTTCAAGATTCAAGATTCGTATGCTTGCCAGGGTCAGGGTACTAGGAATTAGAATCAGTGTAAGTGAGGAGGACATTTCTGAGTACCTGTGAGTAGTGTAAGACTTTCCCTTTTCGTGTATTATCCCACTTAGAGAGTCGTGATGATAATATTAATCACTTTATATACCTTGTCTGTGAAATACTGATACGTGTTTGGTTTGAAATACTAAACAATTTTTTTTTATTTTTGAACGTAATAAAGTACATATTTCTGCACTTGTTTAATATAAGTACACATACTTTTGACACTACGATTTTTATGGTCATCATATGAATGATATATGTACGTTTTACTCTATAGCTTTCTCTATAAGTCGAACCTCCCTATTTAGTAGGGTGGTTACACTAGCGGCTCTAAACAGGTTTGTCGGGGGATTGAACAATGTCTAGCTGCAATCACAACTAAGGAGAGTATTTCGCTTAACGTAAATATATATGTCGTGGCGAATTGGTAAAACTTGTGAATTTGGCTTAAATAGCAAAGCTCTTCTTGCCGAACAAGACAAGCAATAATTTCGCAAAAATCATTCTGAACCTAACGAAAAAATATATTTCATTGTGTTTGTTTATTATTAAACTATTGTAAACTTATCTAAAAGACATTTAGTTGGATTAGGCTAAATTAAATTGCGCTTGTTATAATAAGGTTAGGCAAGTTTTCTAAGGCCCTTTTGGTACAAAATTATTAATTTTATATTAACATAAATCGAAAAAATATATCTTTAAATGTATAAAGGAAAATTTTTAGAAAGGACTTAATATTAAATGAGTTCTTACTAATTGACCAGATTTACCTATTCGGTACGAAATATATATAAATATATATATATATATATATATATATATATATATATATATATATATATATAATAATATATATATATGTATGTATATATATATATATATATATATATATATATATATATATATATATAATATATAATATATATGCTGAGAGTTCATTTTAGTTCTCATTTTAGGGATTAAATTGGTCGGGGGATCAAGCCTCCACCACTTTGCGCTGACTTACACGGGTTTAGCGCTTCATATAAAAATAATAATAATAGGGATTAAAGTATTTCTGTGTGGTGGTGAGAATCTTACCGTGCAGCCCTAATGACCCATGAGTAGTCGATAGGCTTTAACACCCCCCCCCCCCATTAACCAACCAACCTTTTAACTACAAGCAACGCAACTGATGTAATGCTGGTTTTTCTAAATTAGAGTTTTTGAGCACAGAGCACCTCAACATCAAAGCGAGTCACTCGTTCTTCACATGTAGTGGAAGCCAAGTCTCAAATCCTCTTGAATCAAATCATCCACATATACCCTTGACCATTATATCAATAAATAAAATAATAAACCAAAAAAAAAAATTACCCAAGAAGCCAAGATTCAACGAATCTTAAATATATATTTGACATTAATCATATATATATGTATATATATATATTTAGAAAACATATTATAAGGTTCAACATATAAGGGATAATCAGTGTAAAACGCACGTCTTATAGAATAATTAACATTCACATACTAGTACGCATTAATCAGAACACCTGCAACCAAATGACAGTATGTGTTTACATTCAGGTCTTGGCTGGTGCCGGCGTTAGTGTTCTTGATCATGGTCGCGACCGTCACTTCCCAGTTTCAAGCAAGTGAGTACAGTGCTTTCCGGGCATGTCTAGAACTCTTGGGAATATGACTAAGGGCTGTGAAATGCAGATACAATCGTAGCTCGGATTCACGAAACGTAGATAAAATAGAAGCTATTAGCTAGGACTGAAACTCAGAAACAATCGTAGGTAGGCCTCTGGATCGTAAGTAGAATCACAGTTAGGGATTTTAAGGCAGCAGATAGAATAGGGTCGTTGATATGACGCTGGGATGGTAATTGAAATAGTTCCTAGGCTAGTTTTAATCGCTGCTATATGTATAATCTTGGAACGACAGATTGGGGGTCCTAGTTAGTATCTGGGACGGTAAATGAGATAGCTTAATAAAAAAGGCTTGGTAAGATGTTAGCTAGTGCTAAATTATAGCTAGGATAGTTGTAATTATTGATGTGGATATCACTTTTATTGTATTATCATTATAATTAACTATTTCATTCTTATTATTACCATCACTATTTCTACGCGCAGGCAAACACGACATCTCTAAGATCTGCAAGAGGATGAGGATCAACTGCTCCTTCAGGATCCCTCATATATGTTGTGTTTTTGGAAGAAGTCCCCAGGTGACCTACGGTAAATCCTCTGCAAGCCAACGTTGACCGACCTTTGACTAAGCGTTTGCTGGACACCACCAGGATGATGCATTTTTAGGCATTAATTTGTGGGGAGATGTATGCCCATAAAAGTCCTATCAGCAAGCCCTTGTGTTCATTATTGCTTATAAGTAATCGTACGCACCTGCGTGTATAACTCTATCAAGTAAGCTATTTTTATATGAAAGCTCTATCGTTCTCTCCCTGGAATATGAAAGATCATGGGAATGAGTCTTGAAATCTGCTCTCTTTCGTTGCCCAGCGGTGAGAGTAGCCACTCTCATTGCTGAGGTCCAGGTAACAAACCCTGGAGATTAACATAAAAAATTTAGAGGCCTGGGTAGCCGAGACGGTAGACAGACTCACTTTCAATTTACGGACTGCGGTTCGAGTAACTCATCCAACCATTTGTTTATTATAGCACTGGTCGCCGTTGCCCAACGGCGAGAGTAGCCACTCTCATTGCTGAGGTCCAGGTAACAAACCCTGGAGATTAACATAAAAATTCCAGTGAGAGAGAGGAATGAGCTAGCTTCTTATAGAAGTGCGAGGCTTCAGCAAGGTAGAGTAAAGCATGGGATTCTTTGAACTTTTTTCTTTCAGTAACATTGAACAAAAATTTGGTGGCGGGATGATCTCCAGACTCTTCATCAAAACTTTATAGTTATAGTCTTTCACACCTTTATAATTTCTTTCTGAATTTGTAACAAAAAATGTAAACTATCACATTAAAAATCTTATAAAACCGAGGAATTTTATTTCATTTTCGAAAAATATCGTCTTCCTCCCCCATGGGGAGGTGATCCTTAATAATCGTTCGATTTAAAACGTGTGTGTCTACCTCGTTACATTTTAATCTCGTGTGTTTTCTCGGCCAAAATTATAGCATCAAAACTCCAACCCAATGGCATGTTTTGTTGGTTTATTTCCCGCATTCGGTTTAAGCGGGCTAATTTTGGTTAACCCAACTTAAGTTAATGTAGCCTAAAGTAAAGAAACTTGACTTGAAAAAAGCATGATATGACAGGAGCTGAATAAACAGCGGATAATGTGTTTCTTTTTCTAAATCACATTGAAACACAGGAGCTGTAACGCTTTGTAAACAAAAGTTTTAAAGAAGAGGATACAATGAGAGAGCAGAGAGACACTTGGTGACCCTTTGCAAGTAAGGGTGAGGTAGGGATGACGGGTTTGAAGACACCTAGTGACCCTGTACTAGGAGGGGGTGGGGTGGGGAAGATGGATATTGAGTCACATTATAACCCTGTGCTAGGAGGGGGTGGGGTAAGGAGGGGAAATGGGTGTTGCATATTAAGGAAGAGCAGGACGGTGTCGGTCTCAGAGATGACACAGCCTCCAGCGCTGTGCTGCGTCACAAGGCAGGACTAGAGCCTCTACCTGCAGCAAGACAGCATCTACCGCTGTGCTGCATAGCAAGCTGCTGCAGGAACATAGCTTCTACCTTTAGGTAAGACACCTGGATAACTTCTCTCTCGTAATATTAACATAGCTGAGTACAACCAGTTAGCGTGTGTCAGGTGGTTAGCGTACGGAGGCTAAAGCCTATATCACCCCTTGCTTTATATGAACCCTCACGGGTTTACTGATTCGCACAATGAATTCAATACCTTGTCTTAACAGACGTATTTCCTTGGCCACATTATTATACAGTACAATACAATACAATACTTTATTTGGACATGATACACAGTTGTACAAGGAATTATAGTTTGGTAGACATGACAAAAGCCCCTTGTATGCAGAGCATTATGGGCAGGCTTAAAATTAACTTAAAATTAATGATATATTCAGTGGTAAAAATTATAGCAAACAAAATACAACATGAAGTGCAAATGAGTATTTTAAACAATGAAATTTGAACATTTTAGTTAAGAAGCATTATAGATGTACAGATTTGTAGCATAACAATATATAATATAACAAAATGATCACTATACTATTTGAAGTGCAGAAACAGGTCACATGGTCATTAGATAAGTTACTGCGCATTCAAGAGAATGGATTATTCTATTAGGTAATGTAATTAAAAAAAAACAGTTTGATAGGGTCACAGGTTAAACTTTTATGAAATACAGTTATTCTATATTTATTTAGTTGTGGGTGAGTAAGTGGTTTTTAAGAAGAGTCTTGAATTGATAAACAGTGTTTCTTTTGTATTCACAGGTAATGAATTCCAGATTTTTGAGCCTCTTATGTGCACTGAGTTTTTAGATAGTGTGAGATGGACACGGGGAACATCAGAGAGTGATCTGTGCCTTGTGTTATGGTCATGTGTTCTGTTTAGGTTGGTAAGGAGAAGTTTGAGGGGAGGGTTTATACCTGAGTTTATTGTTCTATGTATATAGTAGGCACAATAATAAGTATGGATGTTTTGTACAGTGAGTAAGTTTAGACTTTTGAATATTGGTGGAGTATCTGCCTGGAGTGGGAATTTGTTATCATTCTGACTGCAGCCTTTTGTTGGGTAATTAATGGTCTGAGAGGATTTATTGTTGTTGAGCCCCATGCACAGATTCAATAGGTGAAATAGGGGTAAATGAGTGAGTGATATAGGGCCAGGAGAGCTGATTGTGGAACATAGTACCGTATCTTCGACAGTAGGCCTACGGCCTTGGAGATTTTCTTCGAAATTTGTTGTACATAAGAACATAAGAACATAAGAACGAAGGAACACTGCAGAAGGCCTACTGGCCCATGTGAGGCAGGTCCAAGTCTCCTACCGGCTTAAGCCAATGCACCCAACCTAGTCAGGTCAGGTCACATTGACTTAAGGGAGGAACACGGCAACCGACCTGGTAGCACAAGCTATCAGGTCCAACTCACACCCACCCACATCCACTCATGTATTTATCCAACCTATTTTTAAAGCTACACAACGTTCTGGCCTCTATAACTGTACTCGGGAGTTTGTTCCACTCATCCACAACTCTATTACCAAACCAGTACTTTCCTATATCCTTCCTGAATCTGATTTTTTCCAACTTAAAACCATTGCTGCGAGTCCTATCTAGGCTAGATATTTTCAGCACACTATTTACATCCCCTTTATTTATTCCTGTCTTCCATTTATACACCTCAATCATATCCCCCCTAATTCTACGTCTTTCTAGAGAGTGCAGATTCAGGGCCCTTAGTCTATCCTCATAGGGAAGGTTTCTGATACATGGGATCAACTTTGTCATCCTCCTTTGTACATTTTCCAGAGACTTTATATCCATTCTGTAATACGGTGACCAAAACTGTGCAGCATAATCTAAATGAGGCCTAACCAAGGATGTATAGAGTTGAAGAACAACCTGAGGACTGTTAGGTAAGACACATATGCAACAGTTAGGTATCTTTATTATGAAACGTTTCGCCTACACAGTAGGCTTCTTCAGTCAAGTACAGAAAAGTTGATAGAAGCAGAAGATACTTGAAGACGATGTAATCAGTCCATCACCCTTAAAGTTTTGAGGTGGTCAGTCCCTCAGTCTGGAGAAGAGCATTGTTCCATAGTATGAAACAATATGGAGAAGAAGTGACAGGATGGAGCTTTTTATAGCGCCAAGAGGTGAGACGTAGGCCACTAGGAGAGGTAAGAACTCAGATGTTGAGAAGTCAGGTCCCTCTCAAATCCAGCCCCTCTCACTAGTGGAAGTTGTCGAAGTTGATTGCAGGTCTGTACCAAGATACCCTTGTGTTGCAGTGTCTGACAGATTGAACATTAAAATGGTATAAAATACCGACAGGTTGTTAGGTAAGACACATATGCAACAGTTAGGTATCTTTATTATGAAACGTTTCGCCTACACAGTAGGCTTCTTCAGTCAAGTACAGAAAAGTTGATAGAAGCAGAAGATACTTGAAGACGATGTAATCAGTCCATCACCCTTAAAGTTTTGAGGTGGTCAGTCCCTCAGTCTGGAGAAGGCATTGTTCCATAATATGAAACAATATGGAGAAGAAGTGACAGGATGGAGCTTTTTTTATAGCGCCAAGAGGTGAGACGTAGGCCACTAGGAGAGGTAAGAACTCAGATGTTGAGAAGTAAGGTCCCTCTCAAATCCAGCCCCTCTCACTAGTGGAAGTTGTCGAAGTTGATTGCAGGTCTGTACCAAGATACCCTTGTGTTGCAGTGTCTGACAGATTGAACATTAAAATGGTATAAAATACCGACAGGTTGTTAGGTAAGACACATATGCAACAGTTAGGTATCTTTACTATGAAACGTTTCGCCTACACAGTAGGCTTCTTCAGTCAAGTACAGAAAAGTTGATAGAAGCAGAAGATACTTGAAGACGATGTAATCAGTCCATCACCCTTAAAGTTTTGAGGTGGTCAGTCCCTCAGTCTGGAGAAGAGCATTGTTCCATAGTATGAAACAATATGGAGAAGAAGTGACAGGATGGAGCTTTTTTTATAGCGCCAAGAGGTGAGACGTAGGCCACTAGGAGAGGTAAGAACTCAGATGTTGAGAAGTAAGGTCCCTCTCAAATCCAGCCCCTCTCACTAGTGGAAGTTGTCGAAGTTGATTGCAGGTCTGTACCAAGATACCCTTGTGTTGCAGTGTCTGACAGATTGAACATTAAAATGGTATAAAATACCGACAGGTTGTTAGGTAAGACACATATGCAACAGTTAGGTATCTTTATTATGAAACGTTTCGCCTACACAGTAGGCTTCTTCAGTCAAGTACAGAAAAGTTGATAGAAGCAGAAGATACTTGAAGACGATGTAATCAGTCCATCACCCTTAAAGTTTTGAGGTGGTCAGTCCCTCAGTCTGGAGAAGAGCATTGTTCCATAGTATGAAACAATATGGAGAAGAAGTGACAGGATGGAGCTTTTTTTAGTTCTTACCTCTCCTAGTGGCCTACGTCTCACCTCTTGGCGCTATAAAAAAGCTCCATCCTGTCACTTCTTCTCCATATTGTTTCATACTATGGAACAATGCTCTTCTCCAGACTGAGGGACTGACCACCTCAAAACTTTAAGGGTTAGGTAAGACACATATGCAACAGTTAGGTATCTTTATTATGAAACGTTTCGCCTACACAGTAGGCTTCTTCAGTCAAGTACAGAAAAGTTGATAGAAGCAGAAGATACTTGAAGACGATGTAATCAGTCCATCACCCTTAAAGTTTTGAGGTGGTCAGTCCCTCAGTCTGGAGAAGAGCATTGTTCCATAGTATGAAACAATATGGAGAAGAAGTGACAGGATGGAGCTTTTTTTAGTTCTTACCTCTCCTAGTGGCGTACGTCTCACCTCTTGGCGCTATAAAAAAGCTCCATCCTGTCACTTCTTCTCCATATTGTTTCATACTATGGAACAATGCTCTTCTCCAGACTGAGGGACTGACCACCTCAAAAC